GTTTAATATCTATTAATTAAAAGTTTCCGTAGCTGGGCCATTTTCCACATAAATCATGCAAATCTTTTATCAATGAAAATTTATTGATAAAAGATCTGAAATGTTATATTAAACGCTCAATGCTTTTTAATTCTTGTTCGACTTTCGATTTTCACAATTATTCCAAAATTTACTTCTTTACAATTACAGCCATTACGGCTTACGTATGTAATGTTACTTGTACTATACGGTGCGTAGGGTCTAAAATCTTCAATCTCGCGTGAATTAATTATTGTTAAATAATTACTCGCGAATTAAATGATTATTCAATTCCCGATCGAAACTCGGCTTCATTTAACGGAAGGTCCTTACGTCGCGTTAAATCAAGACGGCAGCCGAAACGTCGCAACCAGGAGAAGACCTAACGACTAAGTTTTCACAGCTCTTTCTAGTTCTGTACTGTGTGTGTGTGTATCTTTTGTATCTTTATTTTTATTCTTCTCGTCGACGTGTTCAACGCGCTGGCAGTAGCACACATTTAAAAATCAATTAGTCGAAACAAACGATCTCGGCACAATATGTAATTAAAATTAAGTGACTGATTAAAAAATAAACTAGAGAAAAGAAAAGAAAAGGAAAGGAAGAAAAAATTCACGATTCTTAGCTAACCGCGTTCCTTTCGACGATCGAATTTCGCGTATTCGGAAAAAAAGGAGATCATCGAAAATAAATAAAATGAAGTTAATCGCGTTAATTTCAGATGATAAGATTAATAATTTAATATAATGAAGATTAAATATATAAAAAGATTATCGATACACTGTATCATTATACTTTCAACAATTTCAATAATTGTAACAATGCAAAGCCTTGGCATCGTTTTACAATTATATTCAAATGTTATAACCCTTATTACCCCGGTTATTCCTGTATAATGAAGTTTTTCCGTCTCTCGAGTCACTTTGATTTTTTAGCGAGAAAAAAACGAGACAAAAGGATAGAACAGACCAAGGAGAGAAGATAACGAGATTCGACGATTAAGTACATTTCTTCGCGTCCATGGACGACGAGCGATTTTTCCTCTACGCGGGAAAATGGATCGTGGAGGAAAAGTACCAGCGGGAATTGAAATCGACATATATTCCGACGAGAAATCGAGAATTTCTGTTTGACGACGCGCGGAAAAATATGTGTACACCTCGAATATCGTCGCGAAGTGAAGATGAGAAAAGATATACGGTGCATTATTGGAATTCTACCCCTAGTAGCAACTGTACGCCATTTTGACGGCGAATGACGTCATCAGACGTCAGTTTGACGTTTAATGACGTCAGTTTGACGTTTAATTATGTCAATTTGCTACCTGGGATAAGGATTCATCTACATCCGGTATTATACACATCGGTTTCAATTCCACAATTCGAATATGAATTTATTTTCGCGTTGACGATTCCTCGGTCGACGCGTTCGTCAGAGAAAACGCATATTCGCGGTCCCTAAATTTGTTACAAGATTTCATAAATAAAAGAGAGAAGTGACGAGAGAGAAAGAGAGATAGATAGATAGATAGAGAAAGAGAGATAGAGAGAGATTGTGTACGTAAAAATTGAATAAAACTTACATTATACAATATCGAGAGCTCCTCCGTCTCTCCGTCCGTAACGACATCGTCTTTCATTTGCACCATAATATTATATATATAATATTTAGATATAATCGCCGCTCGAAATCGCATACTTCGACGCTGTCGTTCGGCAAAAGAGAAGAACAATCGGTAACGAGAACAACCGTCCTATATATGTATAATTCGCGGTCACAATAATTCATTTCCTTCCTCGTCGGTAGAATATATTCAGACAGACTATTTCTTTAATCTCTCTTTTCGTCTTATTTCTTCTTTTCCTTTTTATTTATTTTTTTTTTCACTCGAACGAAAAAGAGGGGACGGGATTCTCTATCGGACGACGCTTTCCAACACTCTGAGCCCCCGCGATTCGTGTCTCGAGCAGTCGAGAGATGTAGAGAGAAAAGAGAGAGGTATAGAGATCGCGGATCCTTTTACGTCAGGATCGTTGGCAGAATTCGGTTTCCTCGAGGCAGGGTAAGAGACGATAGATAGAGAGAAAAAGAGACAGGGAGATGAGTGAGACTTGAGGGTAGTCGCAAAATTAAGGAAGATCGACAAGATGGGATTCGAAGCGGAGGACTCGCGATCGGGGTCAGAACTGTCATCTCCTTTTGGTCCCACGTGTAAAATGGATATCATTTTAAAAAAATAATAAATAAAATAGAAAACTCGTTTTACGATCTATTCTCGACATTACATTGTTTTCAATAGAGACGCTTAGACACCAAATTAAAATTTTAATAATAAATAAAATAGAAAACTCGTTCTACGATCTATTCTCGACATTACATTTTTTTTAAAGAGACGCTTAAAACACTAAATTAAAATATCACTAAATTTTGAAATTTATATGTTTACATATTTATATATTTACAAAAAAAGATTGATAATTAAATAAACGTACTGCATCGAAATTTTTTGCACTGCAAGATTTTTTATTCAGTTTCGAAACGTTTCGTGATGCTTTTTATTTTAGATACCGTAGGACTGAGCCCGCTCACGAGAACGACGATAAAATGGCGAGAATAAAAGAGACCAAAGCATATATGTATATATATATAGTGATGGAGTATGTGTAAGTACATTTCAGCCCCGAGAGAAGGACGTTTCTTGTCGTGTGTAGATGCAGGAAGATAATAAATAGAATCTCTCGGATACCCTTTTTTCCCTTCGATTGTCGATCGCAATCGAGCGATACTCTCGCCCGAAATTAGCGCGTCTTTTATCCCCCTACAGGAAAGGAATGGAAGGTCGTTTCTTTTGTTAGTCGCACTCGCGCGAAAAGCAGTTAACAAGTGTTGGCTCGCGAGAGGATTTATCTCGGTCGAGGTAGTTTTGTCGCTGATGACGTCACCGTCATCCTCGACGACCCGGGGGTTTTGAGTCGTCGTCGCGGTTATATATCGCGCGAACAGACACATTCACATCCAATCCCAAACAGGCAAGCAAACGAGTGACGGGTAGTTATTACTGACCATCAAATTGACGAACAACATTAAAAAGTGACAAGATTCCGGAAAAAGAAAATATACTCTACGCAAATAAAACTTGGATATTTTTCCAAAATTGCAACACTGAGAGAGAGAGAAAAAATATGGAAATTTATAAAAAAAATGATTCAAATTATAATAAAGATATAATAGCTTTCTTTTATTTATAGCTTGTTTCATTTTTCAGAATTTTGCCATGTAAAAAGTACACATAATGAGTTAATTAGTGTTATTTTTTATCACCAATTAGTGGTCAGCAGGTAAATAAATAAATAGGCAGATATATATATATAAGTAAATAGGTAAATATATAAGTAAACGATTGTAAATGAGGTTAATTGATAAGCGGACAAGCACTCTTAAGCACCGTCTATATATGTCAAGTATACGGATAAAATACTATTTTCATGTACGAATATTGGCGTGCAATCGTCATTCTTCAGAAAATTAATAGGATTTGATCATTCGATAATAATATCAGATTCGCATATACATATAATATACGGTCTGCAACGGCTTACCGTTTCAACGCGAAACGCAGATCTTAATCTCAAAAAATTCCGCTACTTAAGATTAATGAAAAATCTGTGTGACGTCAAATGATATCGAATATCAATTTCAAAATTCACACAATAATCGAGTAACGTTAATTACTTTAAGAAATATTCGAAAGCCTGTGCACAGTAGTGATATCTCATTATTTCTTCTTTTCTACGCATGTGGGAGGTTGCAACCCATATCACCGTCAACAACCTCCAGAACGCTACCCTAAAGGGCGAAAATAGTACTTTCACCCGGTACACCGGTCTGATAGAGAAGCGGGGGTAGAAAAAGCAGGGAATCCCTGTTATATATCGTACTTGACAGTGTTATATACAGGGTGTTTCAGAACTGGTGAAAAAGTGTTCAATGGCATATTCCTGGTATTAATTTTCGAATTATAAGCAGTTGAAAATAATGGCTTTTTTGGAAACTAAGCCTTGTAAAAAAAAAAAATTAACAAAACTACATTATTCAGTAATTAATTTCAGATAATTTGCTTTAACATTCTAAAAATGACCTTCCTCCATATTTTCACTAAGAAAAAAATCATCTTCAAATGATACCAGGAATCTGACATTAAAAACTTTTCCGCCAGCTCTAAAATATCCTGTATATTCCGTAAAAACCATATTCGCGAAGAACAACCCCGTCTCTTCGCAACCGTCCCTTCTCTTCCTCGCCTTCTAGCCCACCCCAAAACGTCACGTCGCGTGTTAAGTACTTCGGTTGTTATCATAAGCAGCAGTTCGCGAATGTTGCGCCTTCCTCGTTTCGTGTTCGTGCGGGCGTATATTATCTTAAATCGGCGCGCTGCGATTTCTTTGAGATCAGATCATATCCGCCATCCCCGTTGAGCGAGTGATAAAAAGTTTCCGGCAGAGGGACGGAGGAGAGAGAAAGCAGAAAGGGAGAAGATTAAAAAAAAAAAAAAAAAAAAAAAAAAAAATGATAATTGGAGGAACGAAAAATTCCATGACCGATCCGAGCGAAATACGCGGTAAGTACGTTCTTGGGGCGGAAAAGTGACGGATGATAATTGATCCCAGAAGAGGAGAAGGAACAGAGATAAAACGCATAAACGCATAATACCCTTCTCGTCTCACGAATCGAACGAGACGAGATTGCGGGATCCTCAGCGAGATCCCACGGGATGCATACGAGACCGTAGGAGGAATATATATATAATATATGTACAAATTCCTCTACACAGTAGAGGAAACAAAGTGACAAAGGGCAAGGAGTCGGGATAAGAGACATTGAAACCCAAGGAGAGACAAAAGTCGAAGGTACGAACAAAAAAAAAAAAAAAAAGAGAGAGAGAGAGAGAGAGATAGAAAGGGGGATGGAATGATATGCAGAAGAAGAGAGAAAAAGAGTCTTTAAATGCTGGTCTCGTGTACGAGTTTGGTCAATTCCGGTAGGACCAAGTTGTTGGAGCTCAGAAGCAGGGAATTCCCGGTGCTGTCTCTATTACTGCTCGTCTGCGCCATATAGTTGGGGCTCAGGGGCTGATTGTGGGCGTTACTAGTGGGGGATCTGTTATCGGTGATGGTGGTATTGGTAGTGGTGTAATGATGATTGTACGCGTTGGCCGGCCCGGTCACACTCAGCAACAACGGCGAGGCAGGGCTGTTGAGGGATTGTTGCATCCTGGAGGATCCTTTGTAGTTTGTCTCGTAATCCTGACTCATCATCGGCTCGGCACTCCTATTAGAGGACTTGTAGGCGGCGTTCTGCGCGGTGGTGGTGGTGTTTGTCGGGTCTTCGTCAATGTATGTGAAGTCAGAGAGTGGTCGGGGCCCGGTGTGGCTGCGTGAACTGCGCATACTGTGTAAGCTGTGTAAACTATGGACAGAGCGACGCTCCTCCAGATCTTCCAGAGTCGACTTGAACGCTCTGATTACTCGAAGCTGCAAAAACAGGGAAGGACGTCTATCAGGAAGCGAGGAGGCAAGCCAGCAACACACAAGCACGCCGTATATTGGTTTTTGTTTTTTTCTTTTTCGCGCGCACAGAGGTGTGTTTTTAATAAAGGTGTGTCCCCCTTTTCTTTATTTTCAGTGTCCCCAGAGTGTCGGCGGTTCTGGTCTTGTCGTTGTTCTTGTGGCTGTTGTGTTTTTATATGGATACATAGATTTTTTATTTCTTTTACCGAAAATATATTTCTTTTCTTTTCATTTTTACGTCTGTGACGTGAGTTTCTTCGCTTGTCGGCTTGGTTGCATTTCACCCGAATTCGTGAGCTAAGTAGAACCGGATCGATTGAGTGTACGATAGGGGGATATATAAGACATGTCGTGATTTTTTTTTTTTCCCTCGAACGATCGCTGTTGTACCACCGGCTATACTTGCTCGAGTAATGCAAGCTAATGCAATACGGACTCGATTATCGGCATCGCATGCGCACAATCTACTTCACTTTTTTATGCGTACCTACCTACACGGCTTCTCGTTTGGGATTCGTGATGGAGTGATCATCGGGGACCAACACGACCGAATCTGGACGACGCGCGGACGTCCTCGCAGACGAGACAGCCTCCCTTAGTCCTTCTTAAACGAAGGTGTTCAGGACGCTAATAACGAGTCTCTTGCCAAGGTTGGCTCGAGAGGGAAATCGCAAACGAGGAGTAGCTCATAACTATCTAGGTGTAATGTAGTAATATGGAATTTATTAATTCGATCTAATAAGTATTAGTAATGAGTTCGATCGTAATTTAATTATTATAAGATACTTTAACTAGATTTAAAGTCAATTCGTGTCAATAATTTTAAGGGGGATGAAATAATGAAATTACACTTGAATCAAGAATTCTGTTACATGAATCATAATCGTTATTGTATATTAATGAAAAGATTATGTAATTTCAATATTAATATCTACAAATTTTTTTACAAAAATGTTTTGGAACGAACTACCCCTCATTGGTGATTGTCAAAGAAAAACGAGCAAGGATTCGCGGCTGCGGGGATGCCAATCGCGGAATTCGCAATAGTTACCCAATTAGGAATGGTCCGCAACAGTCCTGAACCGTTCGCGAGCGAGTCTGCCGAAGCATTCGCACGCTTGTAACCGCTCCTCTACGGCTTGGAGTGTCAACAGACAGTATAATAAGGGGTAAGACAGAAGTTTAGAGACAGAAAGACAGATATAGTGTAGTAGTTTGGTATATAATGTTGGTATATAATGGTGTAGTATACGAGTAATATAGTAAGTAAAGCGAAGGAGCACTAAAAAAAAATAAGTACGAAATAAGACACGATACACGTTCGTTTAACAGAGAAAGAGAGATAGAAAGAGAGACACAGGGTATGGATTCACACAGTTGCTTCTCTTAAGTACAATGTAATCCTCCTATAGTGATAATTTCACGCATGTAGTTAGTTTTGTAACACACACGCACAATTGTGTTTTTGATTTTTCAACATTTAACGTTCCTCTACTGTAACTACTTAACAAGTCTCATACGTTGTGATCAGACATGTTCTGTTGCTAGATATGTAGAGACGATTCGGAATAGAGGTTGAAACAGTTTCTCGTCGTTTTCTCGAGTGCAATTGCAGTCAAGACCAGATCGGAGAGAGAAACCCTTGAAAGATCCAAGATTTCATGAAAGATCGAGATAAGGAGAAATAAATGCGAATAAATTTCGAAATAAATTTTCAACGATCTCCTCTTCACGAGTCGCTTCGAATTGAATCGGGGATCTCGATCTGGCTCTGACTTTTCCTTCGATATCGGAAGTTTCAGAAGCTTTCCTTTATCAACGTTCGCTAGTAATAACGAATAATGTTAATTGCTCGATCGACGAGATACGTTTATATTGTTTTTTGTTCTTTTCACAACATAAATCAACATGGTGTAATATGTTAAGTCCTCTAATTGGCACTCGGTACGAAACACATCGGCGGTGTTAGACCTCGGGCAAACAGAAAATAAGGTCGATGCATAAATTGGCCAACCGTGCACACACAAACGCGCACGCACGCACACACACGCGCTAACAGAGACGGAAATAGAGGGGCTCAAAAATCGAATACGACGATGGTCATCCCCTTTCGTGGCTATCCATCTTTCACGTTTTATTTCTATTCGATATATACATTTTTCAGAAATATTTTTTACTTTCATGTAAAAAATATATATAATCACAATAGTTGTTTAATAGTAGCCACAAAAGGATCATCCCTCGTCGGTCGTCGACTCTGTCATTCGCAAGAGGCTTCGGACGACCGATTGTGAGATGTTTTTTTTTTATTCAATCGAGAGCGAGATCGAGTGAGAATTAATCCGAAGAAGGCACGTGTTAGAAAAAAAGATTAAATCCCGGAAAGATCCTTAAAAATTCATTTCGCCGATTACTTTTGGAAAAAGTTTTGCGACAAATAAAGAATATAAAATAATAAATAAATTCTCAAAGAGATTCATTTCGTTCTCTTCGACACGATTCGGTCTTCGACAACAATCCATCTACTATCGTGCACTGAAAAAAATTGGTTAACTTGACTAAATCTTTCAACTAAATATTATTTTGTTAATTGAACATATAAAAATATTTAAATTAAATGTAACATATTACATTTAACAAAACGTATATTTGACTTAAATACTAATATATGTTCAGTTATCAAAATAGTAATTTAGTTGGAAGGTTTTAGTCAAGTTAACAAATTATTTTTTCAGCGTGTCTATAGAAATACGGATTTATAGGATCAAGGGTGGCGTCGATATACGTAAGAGAAAAGAAGGGAGAAGTGCGCACGATGCAGCAATGCTACTTCATTCAAGTTCGCAACCCTTCCTCCTACATCGTCATAACAAAGCACACCATCGAGATCTACGACTGACACGTACCTCCAAATCCTCGAGGGTTCTTACAACATCGATCTCTGACTTAAAAACAAGTCAAAATCGACGCGCCGTCCTAGCACGAAGGGAAGAAAAGGATGTAGTCCGATCGATGGGGGAATTTGGTAGAAGCGGAGAAAGCGTTTTAATTTTTTTCTGTTTTTTTAGCATTTTTGTTTCTGTCTTCGGGGATCGAAAAACCAAGCTTTTTAGTGTCGTTATTCGCGCTAATGAACATTAGCGATCTCTATCGTATCAATAAAACAACGAACAAACGAGGACGGTATTTTAAGGCTCCTGGATCCTCACCGCGGCCATGTTGGATCGTGACGTCAGAGGCGAGGAAGCACACGCTGAAAATTTGTAGATGCCACTTTGAAGTGAAAAGATACTTCGATGCGTTTCATCGAAATATCTTTATATTTCGAAATAACATCTACAAATTTTTAACGTGTATTTTTTCGCCTCTGACGTCACAATTCCAAGTTGGTCGAGTAGCCAGGAACCTTAAAAATAGAAATAAAAAAAAAAAAAATACAATTTGTTAGAAAGAAAAGATACGAACGACACTTGGTGAAGAAGTTCCGCAAAAATCGACGATGACACAAACAAATCGCGTCGAGGCGTTTACACACGAAAATTGGGGAGGCAACGACGAGGGATACGGAAACACACACAGCACACTCATCAGACACTATGCTACTGAGAAATAGAAAGCGCGGGTGGGCCGGTGGATCTGCCGGGTAATATCGCGGTCCCCGATTTATTATATATCGATGATAATAATAATAATATACGGGGGAGGGCCCACCGACCGCAACCCACACCCCCCGGCTACACAAAGAAAACACATTAGTGTGATACACTTCGTTCAAATGTAATCAATCATGTAATATCCGTGCATAATCTCGAATCGTCGCCGCCGTGATATCGCGCACCCGAAAAAAAAAAAAAACTTCCCTCTCGGGAAGACGAGAGAGAGGGAGAGTTTATACGTCCACATATCGTCGCCACGACGACACTCGTCGTCGTCATTGTCATCGTCGTTCATTGGAATCATTATTTAAAAAATCCTGAGTCGAGTAGGAGATGTCTCTCCATTTGCAAGGATCGATCCAGAGCGATCCAATAGATAAGAGATTGTGAAAAAAATTAGAAGCTCTCGAAAAGTTCAACTTCCGATGTCACGAGCGCGCAGAGAACATTCCTCCTTTACGTTATTAGTTTAAAAAAAAAAATTGAAATATTTTATATTATAAATATATATAATATTAAAATATCTTATATTATAAATATATATAATATTAAAATATTTCATATGTCGTGTGTGTTGTGTGTCGGAAATGATTTCTGCGCGCTTGTGGCACAAGAATCTGAACTCGACGAAATGTCAAAATTCAGACAGAGGAAGAGAAAAAGAAAGAAAGAGAAAGAAAAAGAGAGACCAAGAGACGGCGAGACATTCCATCGTTACGCACGTCGACGATCCGTCGTGTATGACGATATATAGTATAATAGATAATAAATATATACGTAATATGCAACACGCGTACTGGCGGGTTCTGATGATTATGGCAATGTATTATATATGTACGGCAGGCGATCATCTACATGAGCTACGTACTTGTTTGTACTCCGACAGGATAAGTGTGGCGGCGGGCAAAAGAATCTGCCGCCCCCTTATACCTCAGTCTCTCGAATGGGTTCCGCTGGCTAACAAACCATAAATTATAACCATCAGTCTCGTTTCTCGCTTTTCTCACCTTCGCTAATCATACACTACTAGCTTTCACTTAGCGCGGGCGATTGCATCGGCGTTCGCTTCGCAAGAAATTTCCCTTTCCCGCGCGTTTCTTCTTTTGGCCGCTAGAGGGTGTGTGTGTGTGTGTGTGAGGATATTTTTTTCTTCTTTCTTTTTTCCCCCTCCCTCGATTCATCCGTATCGACGCGATTTTAACGCGCAAATCTCTCTCGTTTTTTTTTTTTTTATTTTTTACGTTGCTTTTCACGCCTCCTGGTACAAAGAACAGATTTCTCTCTCGAACGAGAAAGAGAGAAAGAGAGAGAGAAAAATTTTGTGAGATCGAAAGAAGAGCACGACTGAAGTCTTGGAATACGAAGAGGTGCACATCACTTGATTCGAGTGTCGCATTGTCACAAGCGATTTCAACTTTGCGCGAAATTAACGAAAGTTTTTTAGATCGTTAAGTGAAAAAGGACTATCATTGATCAGACGCTACACTGAAAAAAATTTATCAAATTCGAATAAGTATTTATCGCAATACTGTCAAATAAATAATTTATTTGAAACTAATAATATCGAATTAATGTGAAAAATATTTATTTGTTTCAAATAAATGATTTATTAGGCAGTATTCAAATAAATATTTATTAATTTAGTCATTTTTTTCAGTGTATTACCGATGAATCGGTAAAAGTTTGAAGAGTATAAAATCTCTGAACGTTTCTGATTTTTTTAAATATTCAAGATTAATCTCATTATGAAACCATATTTCCCTTTATTTTTTTCCAAATAGTCGAATAGTTAGAACGATTAATTGAGAGATGTTGAAATCAACTTCTGTATTGGAAAAAAAAATTTGTTAACTCGACTGAACCTTTCAACTAAACTTTTGCAGATATTGTGACAAATCCTCCTTAGCAAATTTTTATCGGATTTTAAAACTAACAAGCAACACTCTAATCGAGGAGAGACACCATTAAGATTCGCGTTGGCCATCGGCTCCAGTCGTCCAAATAATCGAAAAAAGAGAGAGCGAGAGAGAAAGAGAGAAAAAGAGAAAGAAAGTGAGAGAATCAATCGGAATCGAGTGCTGCTTTAAATTGAAGAACATATAATATATGGGTGTCGTCGATAAATACTTGATTGACGCGTTTTGACCGCAATTCGAATAACGGGGAAAATAGTAGTTGGACGTGAGTCTAATAGGATGTATAGGGGAAGAAAACTGTGTTTGAAAACTTGTGAGACTCAAAAATTCGAAAAAAATCGCGTATTCTTGAACGTAAAAAAATGTCGCGAAATTTTCGGTATTTTTTCTTTTTCCTCGAGCGTATCATCATCGCTCGCGTCGAATATAGAACGCACAATGCAATATAATATATATATATGAATATACATATAAGTATACATACACACTGTTGTACGTTGAAACGCACAATAATAAAATACATGTCACACGCGCGGCACACATCGATATACAACGTACGGTAATAACATCGTACATATCACGTGTTAATCACGATCATCATTATCATAATCACAGCAATGCTCACACTGCAATATTAAAAACGGATAAAAAAAACTGGAGAGTTAGAGAGAGAGAAAAAGGGAAAGCGAATTGTACGGCGCGTGTAGTTAGATTTTAGGAGAAAAAAGCCGGCCGACCAGGACGAGTCGTGTGCCGGAAGTAAGAAAAAAAATAAAAGAAACAAAGACAATGCTCACACGCACGCACACACACAAGAAAGCGAAACATAGATCCAGAAAAGAAAAAAAGAAAGACTTGTTAGACAGAGGCTTTTAGTGTGTTTTAGCGGGCCGTTCCTTGGAACGTTAATTAACGTTAACTGGGGTTGACTGGGGTCCAGTTGATTCTCCTTTCGAGGACCCGGGGGACCGGAAGTAAGGTATTCAAGAGAATTAGCGTACGAGATTCAAGATCCTAAAGAACTACGGGAGTCTGGAGTTGACTTGAGAAATCAACCGAGATTAAGGGAAAAAAGACCTCAGTCAATTTTAACTAACATTTCCGGGAACAGCGTTGATGGCAGATCGAGAAACATCGGAAATATGTAGCACACACCGCAGTTAGCGCCAGTTTTACACATCTCTGATCACGTCACTCGAAAAAGCTGCTTCGCGGCTCGTCTCCTCGACGACTCTAGTTCGGTCAATCGACGAGCGTCTTCGAAAACGCACACATACACGTACATGCAACATCTTAGAGGAAAGTGTGTGTAGAAAAAAAAAATAGAAACCAAAAAAAAAAGAGAAAGAGAAAGAAGAGAGAAAATAAAAATTAAAACAAAAATAGAGAAAGAAGTAACACGGTGGAGAGAGAGAGAGAGAGAAAGAGAGAGACAATCGAGAGAAAAGCGTATGACGGCAGCCAAAACGGTCGTAATCGTAATAATTAACGTCCATCGAACGCCATCAAAGCCATCAATATGTCTCTCGCGGGCTGCGACAACAACAACGATAGCGTGGTTGGTTGTTTTTTTTCTTTTTTTCGTTGTCACGGGAGCGTGATATTTAATCGAACACATGCGCCCCATTTACGTATATTTAAGCGTTCTCGCTTCACAGAGACACATAGGACGAATTGTGACACCGGGAGAAGCAGGATACACGATCGTATCCCGCGACACAGGATCCACAGAGAGACAGGTGTGTAATAATAAGTGATACAAGAAAAAAGAGAAAAAAATATCACAACAGGAGCGTTATTGTTAGCTGCCACACAACGGCGCAATGGCAATGCAAATTGCTCGACGCTAATATATATATTATATATATTTTATATAATTTATATTATGTAATATATATATTAGCTGCTGGTTTTTGCCTTTTCTTTGTTAATTTGTGGAGAACAATTTAAAATCAACCACAAACATGGGTGTGTCGCATGTAGTAATAATATATATATATGTATATATATATAATAAGCACACGGGCGAAAAATATTAATTGAGACTCGCAGTCCGCAAGCACTTACTTGTTAAACAAAATGCAGACATTGTGAGACGTGTGTAGAAAGACAGATAAGTAGTAGTAGTAGTAATAGCAGTAAGTAGAGTAGTAGAAGAGAGAGATAGAGAGAAAGAGAGAGAAAGAAACAGAGAACATAAAAGGCAAAACTGAAAAGGTCTGCTTGTAGGAAATCATAATACATAGTATACATATCGATCAAAGAAGTGTCGCAAAAAAAAATTAGAATATATATATGTATCAGAGGAAAAAAATTGATAAAAATATATATACGTATAGATAAATATATAGAGAGAAACGGTTAATCAGATTATTATTTATATAACACGGTCAAACAATGATCAAACTTGCGGATGATAGTGGACTTGCGGACTAACCATGTAGTAATCCTGAGAAGGGGATCTGCCTGTCACAGATACATTCTGCACCAGAGTTCTATTGCTCGTCTGAAAGTAGGTGACACATCCAGTTTTACATCATTAGCTTCACGTGACATTCCATTGGTATTGTATTTTCTTTTTGTCGTCTTATCACTTTTTTCCGTCTTTTTTTTCTTTAATTGTCTGTTCGATTTTCTATTTCTTTTCTATTACTTTTTTTCGTCTTACTTAACATAAACCGTTCATGTGTTAACGTGTGCTTCTCATGATATATATATTGAACATTTATCGACCGTTGACTGTGCGAAACAGACGAAGTTACAGAGAAAATAAGAGGAAGAGAATATATAAAGACAATATAGAGAGTATAAAGTGTAACTATATATATATATGTATATATAGAATAGTATATAAAAATTGGTAGAAAGATAGACAAAGAGAAAGAGAGAGAGAGAGAGAGAGAAAGAGAGAAAGGAAATAATACGTGTCGTCGCGAGTTCTCTCTAGTTGGACTAGACTTTTTGCTATTTTACTCAACGTTGTGTGCAATTCGTGCATTCGTTTGTTTTTTCTCTTTCTATTTTATCACATCGGCTGTAACAGCTGCAACGGACCAGCGATGTCGTTATCTTTGTCGCGCTACAGCCCGAGCCGCCAAAGTGATAGACAGACAGATAGATAAATAGATATATAGATAGATATAAATAGATTAATAGATAGATAGATAGATGTGGACAGATAGATAAATAAATATTTGACATTACTACAAATTACTATATATATAGTATATATACTTCGCTGCGCAATCATCGTACAGAGTGTTATCGGATGTTTTAAGGATTCTTCGACGAGAAACGGACCACAATCATTAAAACCCTGGAATACTGATCGATATAGTAGTAGACATCGTCGTAAATAATTTTTTTTTTCAATTGCGCAAAAAATAAATGCATATAATTTATATATAATATGCCTGTATAATAACGATCTATTCTAATATTATCAACAGATAGAGGTATATATATATATGTACAAACGTCGTTCGGCAACATCTACTTTAACTTAGACAGTAGAGTCTTCCGCTTCAATCGTAAAATCGATAGAAACGGCAGCTACTAAGGCCGCGCTAAGGACAATAGAGCGGATGAATCTTTTATTCGGTCTTCTGAGAAACGCGTAACAATCAAAGTTCGTTTCACCGGCTAATTACACGTCCCATAAAAGTGGCGGATTTAGATATATACTCTTTATGCATAAGAAGGAGCTATTTTTACGCGTAATACTGATAGTAGACAAGGCTGCCAATTGACATCATCGTAAATGATATATTTTTCAGCGCAAAAAATAAATGCATATAATTTATATAATACCTGTAACAATTTATTCAGTCTAATATTTTATCAACGGATGTACGAGGCGTCTGATAATAATCACCTCTCGTGTATAGATATGTAGCGACTTAAACCGAGTAGAAAAGTTCTCTGTCGTCTTGCGATCTTCGCAACAATTAATACGAAATTAAATTAAAAAACATCAGTCAATTAGCAACATTGGATTATCTCTTGTCGCATGAATTGGCTAATCTATTTTAATTAATTTCTGCAAAAATCGTAAAACAGTAGAAGACTTTTTATTCGATTTAAGGCTCCTTGGTCCTCGCCGTGACTATGTTAGATTGTGACGTCAGAGGCCAGAAAATACACGCTGAAAATTTTTGCGTATCATTTTTAGATATTTTGATGAAACACAACTTTAGATAACTTTAGTATATTTTTAAAATACACCGAAAACTAATTTTTTCTCTTTGTAATTAATCAACAGCTGTAAAATGACTGTGACATTCCACATGACAAAGTCCGATGTTTCAATTATTTTACGGTTAATTAATTCAAGGGAAGAAAATAGTTTTCGGAATATTTTTAAAATGTGTTAAAAAACCATCTAAAATTATGTTAAAATATTTTTTACTTAAAAATGACATCTAAGAATTTTCAGCGTGTGCTATTTCACCGCTGACGTCACAATCCAACATGGCCGGACCAAGGAACCTTTACCCGTTTCTGCACACGAGGCGTGGGATAATTATTATTATTACACCCTGCATAATGTGATGTATGCACAAACGTCATTCGGCAACGTCTACTTTACGCGAATAGTTTTCGCGTGGCACTATAACGTATTATGTAAGGGTTCATTTAATAGTGGAGCAAAGAAAGTTACATAGCGGTATATATATCTGCTGAGAGACAGAAAGAGAGAGAGAGAAGAGAAAGAGAGAGAGAGAGAGAAAGAGAGAAAGTTTAGCGAAGAAAGTTTACTACAAAGTGCGCTATACGTAGATCGATTTAATATCCTTGCTTTTCACTTGCGGACTTGTCCAAAACGGGGTACACGGACGGAGTTTATGACAATAGTTCACGACAATAGTTTGAAAAGAGGTAAACCCCGCGGGGAGAGAATATCTCCGAGTTTGTCGATCGGCGAAACGTGACATCGATCACTGGACTCGGAGACGAGAGTGCTGGTGTGTGCACACTTTGGGGTTCTGGAGCACTTTTCGAGTGGGCAGGATGAAAGCGTCCGACATGTAATTTCACGAAGACTAGAGGAGTGTAGACAGCATAAAGAAGGAGTGAGAAGGGGAGGAGGTGCTGGAGGGAGCAAAAATCGAGATGTGAGATATCGGGAAAAAGGAAGAAACACAAACAGAGAGAAAGAGATTGAGAGAGATAGAGAGAAAAAGAGTAAGAAAGATATTTTGGGGCTGAGGACTGCGTGGACCATTGCTAAGTTGGTTCTGGCTGTCTGTGGAAATCTACTGTGGATGCAAGCTGTATCGGGAGAGAGATGAACGTATAAATATATATATAATATAATATATATGGTACGCAAAAATGTAAATATATACGTGCTCAGGTCGAAAACTCGTCGACGCAGAAAAAGTACACAATTATCAGGAGACTCGACTCAAACCGGTGATGCTTGTGGTTCTCCCTACGTATTATAAATTGGTCACGACACTCGCGATCTTCTTTTAAAAAAAAGGAACGACGAGGGAGAGACGACAGCACTCACAATTGGAAAAGTTGGGACAAAACGAACGTTTTGCATTGGAAAAAGATCACAAAATAAATAATTGAAACGGAATTTGGAATCTGTGTTGTTAATTAAATTTCCTTTTTTATCTATATTTGTGACTTATACCTAGACAATATCCAAAATTGGTGCATAAGATATTTTTAAAGTGTTTTTAAGATGTCTTTTGGATATCGTATCATAAGATTTCTTAAAGATGTCTTAATTATATATTATGCACTAATTTTGAACATGCTGCCAACACATGGGAATATATTTCTTAGATTAAAGATTGCAAAGAAATGTCCATAACATTTTCTTTGATATTTAAAAATACAGGAAGACTTCTTCGTATTTTCGAGTCTAGGAGAGGTCTTCAAAGTGTTTCACGTTTCAGATGGACCACTCAGTATATATGCATTTCGCTGCAGTTTGATCCTTTGTGCTAAACTACGTGGTAAAATATTTGGCATCCGGTCCCAACTGTCCCTTTTGTCTCTCCCACATCACTTACTCGCGTAAAGGGTAGGTATACGGGTGGAGAGCAAGCATTAATCTGTGCGTCTACTACGGCAGATAGTTCTATGTGTGTTCTCGTGTATATATATTATATGTGTGTATATATATGTGCGTCAAATCCTATCGGTGCGTCGGTTCTCGTCGAAGAGTCGTGCATGCGCGATCAGTGATCCTGGTCGAGTCATTTATGAGTTATCCTCAGGGTTTTCCTTTCACTTTATAATCGCATTAATCTCGTCTCTTGTTTGTCGTTTCTCTCCGTTCGGTTCTGTCACCCTAATCGACCGATCGATGCTCGCGGATCGATCTCCCCTACCCAAAGATAAATGACCTCATCGAGATTAGACCTAGTCTTAGGCGAAGACTTGTATATGAAGATTGAGTTTGCCTGTCTATATACGTACATATATATACATATATATGCACATATATGTATATAAATGCAGTACCTAATTAGAGTAAAGACACACGTGTCTGGAGTCTCTGAAAGAGAGAAAGAAAGAGAGAAAGAGAGAGAGTGAGAGCACCGAGGGTCTCGTTGTGTGAAAATTCGCGGTGGCTCTTTGCTCTTCCTTCAGCGATCGATTCCGCGTGCTCTCTTTCGAGCTCGTCGGTCAACGATCGGGTCTATCGACTTTGGTCGTCTGTTGAGACACTTTTTTTTATCGCACGGTCGTCGGTTTGGTTTCTTTTTCTTTTTTTTTTTAATCAGTTTTATCGGTCGGTATGCGGTGGAAAAACGCGCGCGGCTCTCTTTACAGGGTAGAACTCAAATGAAAATGCAAACCAAGGCATAATAAAACGTCCAAACTGAAACACTTGTCCCGTTAAGTTGTGTTGTCATTGTCGTAATAATAATAATAATAATAATAATAATAATAAATAATAATAATAATAATAATAATAATAATATAATAATGGTTAGTAATAACAATATAAATTCAATTCTCTGTAACGTAATAAGTATATAATAATATAGTATCTAGTATAATAATAATTAATAAACGCACGCATAGGTTCAACGTGAATATAGAAAAACGTTGAACGGTAGCGCGCTCTGTTGGCAAAAAAAGAGAAAGGAAAAGAAGAAAGAATCCTTAAAAAAAGTCTTAATGTTAAAGAGCACCGTGTGGTTTCACCACCTTGAACCGGAAGCTAGATCCGGTTTCGTTTCTGTATTACGTGATAGAGGAGAATATCGAGAGAATATTGGTTTTCTTTTTTTTGTTGAGTGATGAGATAATGAGAGAATGAGAGAGATAGATAGAGAGACAGAAAGAAAGAGAGAAAGAGAGAGAAAGAGATAGGGATAGTTACCTGTGTCTGTAGCCGTGTTAGACCACGGATCCATAGAATTTGTCCTGCTCGCGGCTTTTTATCCGAGTCTGGGTCGAATTTCTCGTCTCCTAGATTGATCGCGCCGATATCATCCGGCTGGCCGCGGCCCCATCTGTTTTGAAAAAAACATGAAACCATTTCTTCATCACTCGATGATTTGATTTCTTCCTGTTAAAAAACTCAATGGAAAAGAATGCGCTACCACCACTTTGTTAATTTCTCTTTTCTTTTTTTTTCTTTTGAATTGTTTGCGGCCGGCTCTCCCTCCACGGCGCACTGCACACCACCCGACCATCGTTTTCCATTTTTCCCCTCGCTCCTTAGAAGAATCCCTAATCTATGCTACGCTACACGCGATGATTTGAGAAAAAAATGTGAAAAAAAAGAAAATGTGCGGTTCTCGAAGATTGATGTGTTACAGAAAAATGTGAAAAAAAATTGGATGCATGTGTGATGGTGATTCGAAATAAACTGAAATAATTTTCTCTCAATAGGAATTGCAAGAAATTGTGAACGATTATATTTTTTCTCTCCTTAATTTTACATTTGATTTTTCTATAACAAAAAGTTTTTTTTATCGCGCAAAAATATTTAATTTTTTGGAAATACAAAAGATATGATATCTGATTAATTCCTGATAAGAGAAAAATTATTTCAATTTTCGAAAATTAGTTCAAACAAGTTTGTTAATGAACAATCTGTATATGAGGCAACAAATTAGGGGATGCAATGTGGATGTATGAATGAAAAAGTGTATATAGTGATAGGATGTTAGTGTAAAGCGTTAGATGTGCGAAACTCTTTGTTTTCTGCCTATTTCAGCATTCAGTAAATGGAAAGAAGAATAAGAGAGGAAAAGAAGATACGCAAGAAAGATAATTGTCGCAAATGCATAAAAAACTGCAATCGTTTACACAGCTTCCTTCAACGATTAGGAGATTTAACTTTGATCGTCTTTGCTTAGGAATATCAGCTGGAATATGTTGTGTTTCCGTTTCGTTGGTTTTCTTTATTCCAAATATCTTATCAATCTTTTTTGTTCCGGGATTTATCGTCAATTTTGTGTCAGATCGTCACCTTTGTGCAAAGCAACGTGATTTCCTCCTTACCTGTTGAACGATACAAACACGAAAATCATACCATCGCGACTACGCGTCGCCCGTCCTTGCTATTTATAGGCTCGCACGCAAGCTCGTAGCTCGTGTACAGAATAATACTCATCGGTGGACGGGATAATGACGATGCATGTCGAGGGTCGGTCCGGTAAAATATATTCGTCGAGCGATTCGTTTCCAGAATGTCACAAAAAGTGGAACAAAAAATTGTCGAAAATGCGCGACATTACATAAGATTAAGCCTTCTGTCAATTACTCAAACATTAATAAAAAATTATGCATTGATAGAAGGGTAAAGATACCGTTTAGAAAAAAATGAATCACAAAAAACGTGTTTAAGCGATTTGTTTTCCAAAATGTCACAAAAAATGAAAAAAAAATGCCAGGAAGAAATTGTTGAAAATACACGAGATTACATGAGATTTGCCCTTCTGTCAATTTCTTGAGTACTCAAACATTGATGAAAAATGCATGACGGAAGGGTAGAGATACCGTTTAGAAAGTAGAAACACAAAAATCGTGTTTAACATACACACACTAATCGGGGTCCGACAAATACTCTGCTGTTGGTTAACACAGTCCGTCCGTCAGTGTCCGTCGTCCTTGCAGCAGGAGAAACGCATGTACATGCGTACGCGAGGGCAGGTATCGGGATTCTGTTCACCCACGAAACGGTATAACACACATACACGCTCTACAAAGTGAATAGCCGGGGTGGACCCGTTGTGTTATCAAGCGGTGCACGTACTACACTCGGTGGTAAAAGCTTCCCGAGAGAGCACTCCCTGTAACCTTTGGTCAGCTGGACCCTTCCGCTGGTGTAGCATTTTATAGCAGCGCACTTGACTCGCGTATATACAGAGAAAGAGAGAGAATATAGTAACAGAAAAGCGTATATTCTCGACTCGAGATTATGTTTTCCCTTGCTTATGTCATCCACCCTCGAGAGAGAGGAGAGGATGCTATACGCATCGAGCCGTGCTTCTTTTTGAGAATTAGGAACTGAATTAGAAGCTTGAAGAAAGATAAAGAGAAATAGACAGAAGTGAAAGAGAGAGAGAGAAAGAGAGAGAGAGAGAAGCGAAAGAGAAAGAGAGAGAGAGAAAGAGAGAGAGAGGATGAGATGCAGAAAACTGTCGATGCAGAAAGCGCAATGATGATGAAATTGTCGTAGAATCAGCAAGTTAAAAGTTTTGATGTGGTAAAAATATGAGATTTATCCATATATTTTCTTTTTCGAGAAATAAAAATCTCATTTTTACAATATCGAAGGCAGAGACTCACCATAAACTAAATTGGACAGGTGTATGATCAGAGATGAGCAGAAAGAAAAGAGTTGATGAGAGTATTATTAAGAGTATTATATGATTTCTGGGTGAAAGCGTGTATATCCTGGGATATATGTATCATATACAACAGACGAGAAATTTACAGGAATTTAGAACAGTAAGAAGGGAGACAAAAATAGGTAGAGGTAAAGACAGAAAAGATTGGACAAAAAAATATAACATAAAGAAAGAGTTAGAGAGAAAAAGATAGAGAACGCTGAGAAACCGCATAAGTCCAAGGAATCGAGTAAAAAATATATATATATATATAAATATTTGTGTGTTAATAAGCATTAATTAATTGCTCGAATTGTTTCCCGCACAAATCGAAATTGATTATTAGTTAGTCGATGGCGTTATTTCAAATTGAATCAAGCTCTCGCCTTCGTCGTTTTTTTCTAATCCGCCTCCTCGTTGAAGATTGTGCCTCAAATTTTTAGTGCAACAGCGCACGTCATTATTGGTCACTCGACACAAACAAGTACGTAGATTTCGACTGTACGGCTGTAATCATGCAACGATTAAGGCCAAGTTACGTAAGCTACTCCAAGGTTGGAGGAGCGAGGGATGGAATACCTGGGGGATGGGATTCGCGCACATGATTATTTTATTCGATCACGCGCGATCGATTTCACATATCGATTCTTTTCACAATTTACGAATCGCACAAATGTCAATTACACGTGATGTTTCAAGTAATAAACAATTTTCGAAACAGAAACATTTATACACAAATTTATTAATATACATTTGTGTTAATGATCAAATATAGCGGCTCTTTTCTTCTTTTTTGAAAAAATGTATATTAATAATAATAGTCTAAAAAATCATGAATAATTTTTTTAATTACAGGAATGGATTATATAAATTTTGTCAAGTCCCAATTATATAAATAATAATTTACATGTATTTTTATGTAATTATAGACTCGATTCGATTCAAACTTTAAAAAGACGTCAAACTGTATTTTATGTATTACAACTTTGCAGTTATTTTGCAAGTTTATCGTAAATCAAAGCAAAATAATCACGCGTGCTTCCAACATCGGGAGGCAACATTTTCTTCAAAACAATTCAACATAAAACTGATACTAATCCTGTGGTGTATATATGTATGTATATATACATATTAGCACGAGTGAGTTCAAGATTCGGCATGCAAAGGCATCTACCACAAATGAGACTTAAGATGCTAATTCGTTATGTGATAATAGATTATTAGATATAAAATCGATTACTTTAAGCGTTATGAAAGATTTCAGCACAATGTTGATGTATTATTTACAATGATCATCCAGTGATCTGAAAGACAGTTTACTTATTGAAAAGTCTTTCATCCTCTATACCTTTATGCAGTTGATCTTTACATACCGATGTAAGAAATTGAGAATTTCCATGATTAGCTTACTTCCAAAACTATTATATATTAATTAATTAGTTAATGAAGATTTTCATTATCGAAGATAAAGTTGATAAATGTCTCATGAATATATAATCTCATCCGTTTTAAAAAGTTTTCTCTTTAAAAACCAAAAGTATTGTGAACAATCATCTTCTCTAATGCAACAAACCTCGATTCTGTGCTCAAAAAACAAACAAAAAACGTGTTTATGTGTAAGAGTACGTAATTTTAACTTACGAAAGAATTTGGGAATTCGGCGTGTAGGAATAGTCGTAACTATTTGGCCCCATATTAGCGTACCGATTCCGAAGAACAGGCACCACAACCACTGGTCTAACGTGAGCGCTCTGGTGCTGAATGCCATTTTACCGTATTGTATGATGACCACCTATAAAAAAATACACGATTCTATTTTTAAAAATAGATAAAGCAACATTATTTAAGTTATAAAAATTAGCTGACCATTATTTTACATTTTATTAATAAAAGATTAGTAATAGAGTCATCATAGGCGTCCGCAGGATTTTTTTCAGAAGGGAGCATAATTAATTTTGTTTAATTTAAAAAATTTTTTGTTATTTTATTTTAATTTCTTTTATATGAAATATGCAAATAAATTTGAGCGTTTATTTAAAAAGAAAGCAAATGGTTAATTTTTCCCCTCTTGTTCCCCTCTGCGGACGCCCATGAGAGTTATTATATATTATTAAGGCCCGGTTCCACAACTCGCTTTAATCGAAGTTTAACTCGTTAAACCTAATCAGGATTGGTTCGTAACGAGTTAAACTTCGGTTAAAGAGAATTATGGAACCGGACCTAAGTTCAGTGCAAATGCCAGATGTGGAGGTTTAATATTTAATAACAACATTCTCTAATGTGCACATTGATATAGGTTGAATAGATACTTACTTGCGAGAGACACGTGCCGATCCAAATTGAATAGAAGATGGGGTTGGTGAATATTCCCTGGAAGACATTGCGCTGACCGTGAATTTTCCTGGCGTTGAATTCGTTGAAAAGAGTCATCATGACGAACGTGTTAAAGATGACGGTGAAGTGTTGCGTGGGTCCGCCGCCCGCCGCCGCGACTCCGCGGCCCGTGTCGATGTCGAGCATCAGGTCACCTGCGGCAGTCGATCGCGGAAGTTTTTAGAACGTTCCGCCTGTTCGACGGAGGTGGACTGAGACTCGAAGGAGAAATCGAGAGAGTATCGCAAGGGGGAGAACCAAGGGAGGCGGTACTCACCGGCGAAAAGAAGCGTGAAAATTACGCTCAACTGATACAAGGCCTGACCGAGAATATTTTCATCATTGTCCTGGAAATGAGTGGTTTTGTGCGACCGTACGGTCTACGGAGGAGTAGATCGGGCGTAGGCATTTCGGTAGCCAAGGCGAGGGACGCTAACGTGTCCATGATTAGGTTTACCCACAACATCTGTACTGCCTTGAGCGGCGAGTCCTGCACGGCACAAGCACCGATAAAAGCGACGATCACGGCGACCACGTTGACGGTCAGTTGAAACTGCAGAAACTTGGCGATGCTATCGTAGACATTTCTGCCCCACATGACCGCCTTCACGATCGACGAGAAATTATCGTCCGTCAGGATGATGTCGGACGCCTCTTTAGCGACGTCCGTGCCGGCGATGCCCATAGCGAAGCCGACATCGGCCTTCTTCAAGGCCGGACCGTCGTTCGTGCCGTCACCAGTCACCGCCACGACCTCGCGGCTCTCGGTCGCTTTGCTGTCGATGATGCCCTTCACCAGGGTGTACTTATCGGTGGGCGATGACCTGGCAAGTACTCGCAATTTTGGCCACACCTTATCCAGGAGATGTTGTTGCACTTCGCCGTTGCTGTCTCTAATCCTGCGATTAAACTCCTTGCCCTCGAGAATGAGGAAGTCCTCGTTCGGCTTGAGAATACCACACTTGAGCGCGATGGATCGCGCGGTGTTTATATTGTCACCCGTCACCATGCGCACGGTAATACCGGCCTTTTGGCATTTCCTAATTGCGTCCGGTACTTCGGGTCGTACCGGATCTTCGATACCGACGATGCCCAAGCAGGTGAGATTGTTCACTAGGTTATCTTCGTCGTCCCAATTGGGCTCGTTGTCGATGTGAACTTGATTGATCTCCGCCTTGCCGGGAACAAAGTCGCGATAAGCGATGGAGATGGTGCGCAGTCCGTTGCATGCCATGGGTTCGATCACGTTCTTTACCAGACGCTCTTGCATGTCTCTGGTAAATGTCTCCAGATGACCATCGCGACCATATATAAAGGCACATCTGCAATCAAATCGATTATTCCTTTTTCGATCGATCAAACATTCAACTTTCATGAATTCTCGTTCTTTAGATAATCTAAAGAAAATTAAAATTAAATTTTAAAACATTGTCTCGAATGATATTTTTTCAACGACTTAAAAAGAATTCCTTTAATAAATGATAAAAGTCTCAAATAGAAAAAATGAAAGAAATGAGCGAATACGTACTTCTTCATGATGATCTCGGAAGCGCCCTTGGTGAAGAGCCTAAATCCACCGCCTTTCCTGGGAACGACGGTAGACATGCTCTTTCTTACGCTATTAAACGTATACACCCGCGTAAAGATTTCCTCAGGATTATCGTCCCGCACGGTTTGATATTTCTTGCCCAGGGCTAATACGAATCCAAGTAAGGCACATTCGGTTTTGTTGCCGACCTGCATCGACAATTCGCCAGGTTCCTGCGACTCCATTATTCGCGACGTGTACGCCGAATTGATGGAGATGGCCTGTATGATCAGTTCGCCGATGTGGTTCGGTATGTCCGAGAAATTCGGCGTCGTCTTGCACATCTTCTCGCATATGTACGACTGTACTACGGTCATGCGGTTCGTAGTCAAGGTGCCGGTCTTGTCCGAGCAAATGGCGGTGGCGTTACCCATAGTCTCGCAGGCGTCCAAGTGACGTACCAAATTGTTGTCCTTCATCATTTTCTGAGGGAGAGAAAGGAGGAACAAAAACGAGGCGCAATTTGAGAAGAAAATGGGTAAAAGAATAATTGATCCCAGCAAACACCGATATATAATTGTTACATTGCTATAATAAAACGGAATATAACAGGTAATATAACGTGTACGTTACATATAACATCTATGTTAGTTGTAATCTCCCACTCATAGATGTAACATTTTAATATAACATATATTACATTATAGTTATATTGTAATTATATACCAAATAGCACATTGATGTATTGATAAGTCAGTGCTATCTTGGGATATAATGACAATGTAACTACAATATAATATATGTAATATTAAAAATGTTACATCTATGAGTGGGAAATTACAACTAACATATACGTTACATGTAACATGCTTAAGTATATAACATTTATATACTGTGTTTGCTGGGAAATTTTTAAAAAATTAAATCAAATCTGCAGAGTCTCACCTTGACGGAATAAGCGAGCGACAAGGTGACGGCTAAGGGAAGACCCTCGGGTACGGCGACTACGAGCACCGTGACACCGATGATCAGATGCCGCACCAGATCACCGGCGTACGTGTTTCGCCACGGCTTGCCCTCGATGACGAAGGTCGTCACGCAGAACTGTATGATTAGAATGACGACGGTGAGCACCGCGATGGTCGAGCCGGCGTAACCGATCTGTATGGCGAGTTTAGTTAGCTTGGCTTGCAGAACACTCTTCTCCTTCTTCCCGCTTTCCGCGGCGCTCGCGGGCGCGGGCGCGTGATGATTCTCGCCACCCTCGTGCTTGCCACCGCCGCCTCCTCCGCCGCTTCCGGTCACGTGACTGTTCCCGGTAATCTCTACCGTTTCATCTCCTTGATTTACCATGTCAAGATTAGACTGCGTCCCCTCGTCGTTTTTTATACATATTATGGTCAATCGAGGCTCAATCGGCCCGAGCGATCGCACACCTCGACTTTTTGCCGAAGGGGTTGCTCTGATCATGGGCGTCCGGATTCAATTTTTTTGTTTTTTGTTCTTTCTTAATTTTTTAAAATTTAATTTCCTTTTTATTTTGTTTGTGTTTAAAACATTGTTTTATATTAAATGTACAAATAAATTCCAGTGTTAATTTTTTTACTGATTCCAAGAGAGGACAATGTCCCCCCTTTTAATCCAGAAGAAAATTAAACAACACTGGAATTTATTTGTATATTTAATATAAAAAAATGAAAAAAAATAATAAGGAAATTAAATTAAAAAAATTAAAAACAAAAAAATTTTTGCCGAAGGGGTTGCTTTGATCATTTTATTTTTTGTTCTTTCTTAATTTTTTAAAATTTTATTTCCTTGTTATTTTGTTTGTGTTTAAAACATTTTTTTATATTAAATATACAAATAAATTCCAGTGTTAATTTTTTTACTGATTCCAAGAGAGGACAATGTCCCCCCTTTTAATTTAGAAGAAAATTAAACAACACTGGAATTTATTTGTATATTTAATATAAAAAATGAAAAAAAATAACAAGGAAATTAAATTTAAAAAAATTTTAAACAAAAAATAAAAATTTTAATCATGTCCCCCCTGGACAAAAATTCTGCGGACGTCCATGATTTCCATCGATCGCAACATCGACTGAATCTCGATTGTTTACACTTACAATTAGAAGTATATATAATAAGTTATCTCAAAAGCATTCTAGTTAAATGCTGGATGCTACTCGAGTCGGTGGATAGCCAAAAAGTTTTTTAATGAGAGATGATCGAGATTAATACGGAAGTACACAACAGTTACATGTTAGAGAAACACTGATTAAAACCAGGGTATTTTGTATCATTACTAAAATGCAGAAAACAAGAAGCTATATGCAAGAACGAGGTAGCCGCTAATGTGTCCAAATGCATATATATATATATATATAAACCACTGCCAATAGAACACGCAAAGATCAAATAGGGAACATGAAAGCATGGATAATATCAATTTTGTTTCTTCTCTTACGCTCTCGGCACAGGATGTAGCGTTCGATATATTGAAATAATGCAACCCTTAAACCATCTCACTGCTTTACGTCTCGATTTTAAGTTAAAGTCATCATTTCTTCGCTACATCCAGAGATCCGAGAGATACCCTTAAATCATAATCGACGAAAAAAGAGAAATTAAACTTTATAATCAAACGTCATCAGAGAAAGAGAAAAAGAGAGAGAGAGAGAGAGAGAGAGAGAGAGAGAAAGTGCGAGAAAAAATGTTTCTGAATACGCAACATTAATATAAAGTTCATAGATGTAATTGATCGAAATAATAATACAAGAAAAAGAAAACTCCCGAACAAAATGCAGAAGAAATGAAAGAGAGATGAAGTGATAGAGATCAAAAAAAGTACTGAATGCTGTCTTGAGAACTTAAAATGATCAATTAATTTCTTGGCCTCGATGATCACGAGTCTATGTGTATATATGTATATACACATAATTATATATATGTATATTGAGATAATAAAAACAATAATATATATAATATATATATAGATATAGATATATTATTTAGAATTATTCACCTGGTAATGACTTCTTCTTCCGCTGCTTTTTAGCCTCTAGATAAAAAAATACATGCAAAATGAAATTGATTAGCAATCTATTTGAAAAATATATATGCCAATGGTATAATAAGTCGCGTCAGTATAAAAGAATTTACATTTGTGTGTGATTATAATTTTTCTTTTCAATTTTTCATTAATTTTCACAAGTGGGTACTTAACACTAACAAATGAAATAGGTAGACAAGTAGTAGGTACAGCCCAGAAGGTCAAACATAAAGAAGCGACTATTGCTTCTATGATATACGGACAAAATTTCACTAATGTTAATCGTAAGAGTACATGAAAGTGCATTTCTTGTGTGAATAATTTGTCAGTAAAATTCGAGTTTACCTTCTAGGTTGTGCCATAACGAAAGATTTACAAAGGAGTATGGATTAAAAAGAAGAATTATGATATTTTGATATTCATTTTTCATAAAATATGTAAAATATCCCAAAAATTATGTACTAATTAAATTAAAACTAAATTAAAAAATGATACATTATTTAAAATTAAAGAGGGAGGAAAAGAGTTGAAAGATTCTGGTGAAAATGTAATTTGAAATACAACTATATAAATGACAATTATTGTTTTTCCTTTATAGAAATTTAATCACGTAAAGACTTTTAGAGTCCAATTCTTATTAAAATATTTACTATTCACGACTTTAAAGCTTGAACTTTTGATCCGAAAAGTACATAACTTTTAAGACACTTTCCATAAAAATTATATAAGAATTGAAAAATTATATAAGAATTTTATCAATTTTGAAATTATCAAGTAATAAAATTTCATATACACATATCAGACAAAGATAAAAAACAATATATATAGCAAAAACATTTATAGCTAGAAAGGGACAAAAACACAAATGATTTACAAACGGAAGATATAATCAAATAATAGCATCTTGAAAAAATTACCCGAAAAAGACATTATTTTTAATAAACTATATAAATAGAATTTTGATAAAGATAATTTTGCGCGCGCGCGAATATAGATTTCCCATAATATATAACTTTTAATATCACTTTGATATTTGCGTACAACGCAACAATTTTCATAACGTGAATAAGTGAACAAAAAAATTTGTTTGTCAATGAAAGGGATTTGCCATAGAATAATGCATACTACCGTATCAGTGGCAGTTTTATATTACTTCCTAAAGTATATACACGAAAGAAATGTCTATTCTGGAAACATTAACAAATTGAAACGCAAGTTTTCTACAACCACATTAGTTAATGAGTTAATAAAAGTATATAAAATCCGGTGTTGGCAAATGCAATATCGAGAGAATAAAGTACAGGGAGTGAAAAAAAATGGTTGTTGTAAAATTCATAGTAAAAAAAATGATTCACACCAATTCACGTCAAAACCATGCGTCCACTGCGATTCGTCTACACTCAGTTTGAAACATTTCGTAAATATCATGCGGGAATATGATAGAGTGTACCAACAACTTCTATTAATACAAGACACAATTGCCATAAAATATATTTGCTACTCGAGCTATTATGAACGCATCGTAATTTATTCATGTGTCGGATCTTCAATAGTATTTCAGACTAAATGATTCATTTTACTAAATGATTCAGAAGTTGCTAGTAGAAATAGGTTTACTAAATCATTAGAGTGAAAAGATAGAGAATATGTGGGATATCAATCTCAAAAATAATCTGATAGAACCTAATATAGAACTTTATGAGAAACATGTACTGTGTATATATATATAATATATATAAAAAAATTACATAATACTCTAAGAATTTAGTAACCTTCGTATAAATGTGCAGTCATTCAAAGTAATCGATCGATCAGTCGATCGATAGACAACAACGGTATACGTACCTTTCTTCATTTTCTTGATTTCTTGCTCCTGTTGATCAACAGCAGCACCCAGTAAGGTAAAGATAATACCCGCCTGAGAGTTAACACCTACTGCGGTAACTAACATTTTTCCGGAACCCTCCATCACGTGCGTACCTTTTTAACAATACACATTCAAAATAGTTTTTTGTGATATAAAAGTCCTTTAAACATTTTTTTTACATTAGCAAATTAATACAACATAGTAACAAATATTAAACGTAGAAATATAAAAACATAGTAAGAATTATTGCAATTTAAGCAAGGCTATCTCACCTGAAAGTACCATAGGATCAAACGACTCCCCTTTCTTTACATGATCTGACTCTCCAGTCAGACTGGATTCATCTACTTTGAGATCGTTGCTTTGTATAAGAATACCGTCTGCAGGCAACAGGTCTCCATATTTTATCTGTAATGCCAAACAGCTAATTTAATATAAATTTTACTTTTGCTTACACTATGTTAATATTTAACAATGCCAGCACACAAAACTAATATCCCACGTTAACATTTAAATATTAAAATTAATATCTTAACAATATTAAAAGCTTAACTTAATATTGTTGCATATATACCTGACAAATGTCACCGACAACAATATCAGACACAGAAATTTGTTTTACTTCTCCTTGCCGTATAACCGAGAATTTGTGCTCTCCCTCTATCCGACTTTGAAGACCTCTAAACTGCCTTTCCTTGGAGTAGTCATTAAACGCCGTCACTAAGACCACCACAATTACAGAAATCAATATAGCGAGTCCTTCAATCCAACCATATTTTGCTTCGTCCTCATCTACTAAAGCTAGAAATAAATACATACATATATTATTCAACATTTTTTGGAATCTTCCTTTAAAATTGACAAAAATGTATCTTTCTGTATTGTTAAAAAATCTCTCCTTACTAACAACAAATGAAAAATCACTCGTAAGGCTAAAACACATAATAGTACATTACAAATATATACTTACGTTTTTCCTCCTCATCACTATCATCAGCTGGATGATAAAAGCTAAGACCTAATGAAACCAATGCTGCTACTTCTAAGATGATTAACGTGACATCTTGCAATGCTTCCCATACTAACTGTAAAAATGTTTTTGGTGGTTTTGGAGGTATCATATTGGAACCAAATGTATCTCGCCTATGTTGTATGTCCGCTACTGACCCACTAAGACCTAGGTAGACAATAAAAAGTAACATTTATCACATCGTCAGAGATGTAACTTGAAAATGTTGATACGTTAGGAGGTAAAATCTCTTTACCTTCACTGGGTGAAGTATACAGCTTTTTACAAATCTCCTGCACACCACCGTAGCTATTGATTTTGTTGACACCTTCGCGTCCCCGGAGCTCCATGAGCTCACGGAGTTGCTTAAGCGTGACACCATATTGGGCCGGCCGGCCGTCTATCGTCGCCATGATATCTCTGTCGCCTCTGTTGGCCGAAGCCAACTACTGTTACGCTTCCGCAAGGCTACCACAGCTCGTATTATTCTCTGGCGTCGCTGCTCCACTGGCCTCCAAACAAATGGAGGACCAACGGCTGAAAGATAACAGAAAAACATTGTTATAGCGGATAGGTTTGCAAACTGTCATAAGTTTTTCAAACATACAATAGTCAAATATATGATAAAATATAAATGCAGTAGTAACTATACACCAGCATTTATACACCTGGTCGCGTTTCAATTCCCATTTATTGACTTAAAACTTAAATCGCCAGCGATATTGCGTTCTGATAAGAATTACCAAGTGCGAAAGCGATCAACAGACATCAGAGAAAGGATGAAATCATTTAAAGTACCGCGATAAGATGTGTATTGTCGCGCATTGTCGAACGTGAAACACGTCGCGCGAGACACGGCTCCTCTCGATCTCGGCGAGGCGATCCGGGAATCGCGGAAACGCGAACGGAATCGATATCGGCGCGACCGCGTGTCCACGAAACGAAACAAGACGCGAATATCCGACGACGATGACGAAGGTAGGGCACACGCGGACTCTCGTCGCTTATGCAACGCGATTATTGATTCCGGGGGATGTGCAGCGACGTCGAAAGGAGCAACATCGCTCCGCCGTGCTGGTCTCTACCCCACACTCGCTCACACGTACGTACACGTATACACATACCATGTCGACCCTACCGCGGCGCTTCGCGTTAAATGTCAAACTCCTTTAACCCTGCGCTCCCGAGCAAACTCTCGCGTCTGACGTGTCATGTGGAGGAGAGCGATTCGGAGCGGTAGACGTAGAGATGACGACGGTTTCCCTGAATTTCGGTGGATCGCTCGACCTCCCAGGGCGAAGATTCCTTCCGCCGAGAGAATGCTCCGAGATTTTTTGAGGTTAGGTACGCCGAGAAGCGGGCGGCTTCGGCCGCTCAACTGACACTGACAGCTGACAGCTGACAGCGCGGCGTGAACGTTGCCGCGGATCGCGACGAGACCGGCGGACGAAATGAAGTCAGCAGCGGATCACGGCGGCGATTTCACTCTCCCTCATCGAACCGGCCGACGACGAATGGATAGAAAATAACGACGGACTGTCACTTGCGCGCGCTCGCTCGATAAAAGAATACAAACACGGTGCTCTAAAAATAACTGCGCGCATCGGAAAGAGAGAGAGATAGACGCCTTTACCTCTTGCTACGATTTTCTTCGAAAGAATGACGACGAATCCAGGTGAATGCGAATATTATATATGTATATCATCGCTATATGTTCCCGTCAAAACTTCATCATTTCTTCGTTGTCAATGAATGACGTATAAAGAAAGAGAGAAGAGAGAGAGAGAGATGGAAGGGGGACTTTATCGCCGTGCTGGCAAACAAAACGATCCGGCAAGATGCTCGATCATGAAAATCATGGAAAAGTGAGTGTTAAGTGAAATGAGCCATTAGCAAAGTAACAATCAATTCGTGTTGCCCTCTAGTAGGTCGCGAGCGTAACTCTCCTCTCTCTCTCTCTCTTCCTCATTTTTTTTATTTCGAGTCATGAATTCTCATTAATTTTATTACATTTTAAATCTTAATTTTGAATTGCACTTTTCGTCATTTTCTTCCACATTTATTAAAGCGACACGGAGACGTATGTTTTAGTTTTAGAAATAAAAAAAAATATATATATATATATATATATATATACTGTGAGAGCAGGAAAAATATATTCGCCTTTCCATTCACAACATTTCTGCTTCCTATTTTTTTTTCAAAGTGCAAATAAATTTATTATACATATACATGTTTCTAAAACTATGTCATGATTTTAAGAGCATATTCCAGGAGTCGAAAAATATATTCTAGCTCTTAGAAATATTTTCAGATTCTTGAAATTTTGCACAGCGGAATAATTAATAGTGACCTTCATTTTTATGTGGTTTTGATAATTTGATCCCATTTTGAGGGAGGAAAAGTATGTTTAGATTCATGTTTATAGAAACTTTTTTTCCTTTTTCGATTCCTAGAATACGTCCTTAAAATCTCTGACATAGTTTTAGAAACACCCTGTGTCTAAATAAGTGCGAAACATTTTAGGAGATGGTTCTTTATCGAAAATTAAGGAAGGTTTCTTTATATAAGCATATACACGTTTTTATCTTTTCCTCAAATTTCGGACAAACTGAAAAAATGAAACTTGGTGGACATTTTCCACTAATAAAAAGGATATTTGTTAATATTTTCTTATCTTCCTGTATCGTTGAAAGGTAATGAAATTAACAACCCCTATTTAATTGTTTATCAGAACTTTCATATAAGAAACCCCCTTTATTAATTTTCGACCAAAGCATCATCTCCTGAAATTGCTCGCACTTATTTTAGCTACACCCTGTACATAAAAAAATGGTTTGAAAAAGAAAAAATAAATAATTCCATCACGAGAAAGAGGCGACCTGAATACACATCGAGATACAGAAATGTAATCTGTTCGATAAAAGCTTCTTTCGCTCTAACGATATAAAAGATCGACGGCGAGATAATCGGAGACGTCGAGACGCCTCGTGGACGTCGTCAGCGTCGCGATGACGCCACGCGACGAAAGGCGCGCACACACACACACACGCACGCACGCACGCACTCGATCTTAAATTGCGATTTCCCCTCCATCGCGGAGAGGACTTTACGTAATTTTCATCCCCGGCACGCGCGCGCTATTTTCAACCGATCTGTAATAATAATAATAATCAAACCGACCGGTTACGAGACTCGCGCGCGCGCGAAACTTCCTTTTACGAGTCTCGTCGTCGAGGAGGTCTATTAAGGACTTTCGCCGTCATGCAAAACATGCGTGCACGATATGTGTCCCAATTGTACAAGTATACATATACGTATACGATATTAAAAGACTAAGAATAGCGAGTGAGCGATGGAAACGAATGTGGAAGCCTTAGAACACCTGTAGGGAGCGAGAGAAGAAACGTCAAAATTATGAAAATTTATATGTCGCCCTACTTTATACGGAGAGAGGATGAATCGCGTAATAATCCAGAGAGAGAGAAAGAAGAAACTTGTTATACATATCGATCCGACCGCGACAAGTCGTACGTAAGCGGAGGTAATTTTCCGTTTGCGGCTCTCCGTCGTTTTATTTATTATTATTAAAATGTACAGCGTTAAGCATTTGGCACGCGCGCATGTATAATATAATTGCATAGTTTCGTCGCGTGCATTTTTTCAGTCGCGTACACGCTAGGGCGACTTTTATAGTCGCGATATCTCGCGACTTGAAGTATTTCCAAAAAAACGTCTCCTGTCTCTTCCCCTGTTTGCCTCGCAAAATTATAATTTTCCTCGATTCGTATATATTTTAAGCCGATCGTTCAAAATCCAGATCGATCGGTTGATCGATTAATTGTCAGAACCAGTCTTTCCCTTCGCGCTCAAAAATCACGAATTATTATAAATATCTCGCTTGTAAGAAATTAATCGTGGCATGTTTTAGATACATATAATATAGTTTTTTGTATATAATATATACACAGTGTTTGCTGATCCAAATAATTTTTTACATCTAAACACAACACTGAATCTATATAATACAGTATCTTTTGTAATCGCGTGCGCGTTTTTTTTCCTCTCACTTGAACAAATTAATTCGCTAAATTTCGAGCGAGTTTTCGATTCGACCGATTCCTCGTGTATTCGATGATCCACATGACTAAAGCACAGTCTGACACAATGCTATAAATACGAACACGGTGATCACGGAATCCTGCAAGAAAGAGATAGAGAGAGAAGCGAAGGTTGCCGGGCCATTACTTTCCGTGGATTACGTGTCCCGATGATGATGATGGCATTTTATGTGAAGGAACGCAGGCAGATACTGGCTTGTTGTCGAGACACGCTCTTTCACGAGTGACCGCGGCCACGGGAGCGTATCGTCATTAATACGAGCTATATAGCGGAGGTCGTATAAATACAGGTAGAGGTGGAGTCGCCGCGAAATGATGTCAACGCTTACGCACGTTCATCGAATTAGAACCCAGGCGCGATTTTATTATCCGCTTACTAGACGCGGCTCTTACTTGGCTTAAACGAATTTAATCGCTCTTGCACGAGTCGCTCTCATTATTCACTCGGCACCGCGTATAACGTTAATATCTCTCTCTCTTTCTCTTCCTTCATGCTCCTTTTTATTAACTACCAACTTATTACGACGCCTTCGTCGCCGGTAATAAGACGCAGAAATGTCCTTCGTCGTATTCGTATGTGTATATACAGGATGTTTCTGTAAAATTATGTTAGAAATTTTGATTTTAAGGTGATCCTATAAACGTCTTTGAGAAGTCTGTGACTTCCGTCCTGTTTTATCGACAAAATGTGAGGTTGGATAAACTATAAATTTATTTATTGGCTATACGGATTGTTTTTTACCTGAAATTAAAACACTTCGCCCTTTGTTAATATTATATTCATACTTTAATTTATACAGGAAAAAGATTTGTCAATCTGTATATTCATAATTCTGTAACCAAAATATATAAAACTATACAGATTGATAAATTTTTTCCTGTACAAATTAAAATATTAATATTAACAAAGGGCGAAGCGTTCTAATTTCAGGTAAAAAACAATCCGTATAGTTAATAAATAGATTTATAGTTTATCTAATCTCACATTTTGTCGATGGAACAGGAAGGAAACTTAGCTTAGAATAAATTCTCCTTAAGGATGAATTCTAGGGATCAAAATAAGAAAAAAAGTTTCTATAAACATGGATCCAAAAATGTTTTTCCTCCGAGTTATAGCTCCCTTAAAGATGGGTGAAAAATGTCTTGTAGTTTTCTTGAAAAAGTTTTTCTCGATCTGTGAAAAAGTTTTCAAAAGCTACAATACATTTTTTGATTTTTTCTCAGGAACTATTTCTCTTATTTTTTTTTGAACTTATAAAAACTTTTTTTCTTTTTTTGACTCCTAGAATACACCGTCAAAATCTGTGACAGTTTTAGAAATACTCTGTATATATATACAGATTGTTAAAAAATTAGACCGATAAATTTTGAAGAGAAATAGAAGATTTCAAAATAAACATTTTTTGTTAATATTAT